TCTGATTCTTTGACTCCAGTTGGAACTGGGGTCAACACTGTCAAATACAGAGTAGAGATCACGTAGGACAAAAGCTGGAGAAATGCCTTGAATTTGACATTTGAAACGTTTAGAATAACATTTGACAGGTTATTTCTCTGTAGTGATTTGAATTAGGATGTTAAGGATTAAACAGAAAGTGAAGAGAAGGAATGTAAAATGTGTTTGCAAGCAGTGAGGAGAATGGAGGAACTTGTATAGCTCATGCATAGCACAGAGGAGAGGGGCAGTTTTAGTTGGAAAGATTCAAGCATGTGTTTAACAACCAAAGTAAAACATAGAAAGGAAGGCTGAAGCTAGGAAGGGAAAGAGATAATTGCAAGAACTAGCACAGGGATATTTGAAACAGTTTCTCCCCGAGGAGAAGTTGGTTTTGGAAAAATGGTTGGGAACCCCATTCTTCTTACACCGTAGATGAGCACGAGTTGAATGCAAAGATGGTGAAGGAGAAGGAAGGTGAGGACTTAGTGGGTGTGACTGTCGGTGGAGCGGAAGGCAGATGTGTTCATTTGAAGAATGAAAGGATGAGGAGCACAGCCACGCGCCACTTTCACTTGAGAGGAAAGGATGGCGAATGGGTGCTGTGAACAAGTACAGAAGTTGGAACACCAAGTGGGCCCGAGGGGCCAAATAATATCGAGAAACACAAATATGTTGTGGTGCTGTTTGTTACTGTTACAATCTTCCCCCCATGGTAATAGCAGTGTGAAAGATTGATGGTATGAGAAGGTGAAAGATCAAGATGTTTAGGGGAGCTAGAGATTTAGAGGTTTTGTCCAACTGATGGCTCATGGAAATATACGTTGAACATTTATTACTCCAAGCATTGTGCTAAGTTCCTGATATCAAGTCTAATTATTAAAACTGTCTAAGGTGTGCCCGGCGCAATAGCCTAGTGGGTAAGTTCTTGCTTTGCATGTGCCGGGATCTCATTGGGGCACTGGTTTGTGTCCCAGCTGCTTCACTTCCCATCTAGCTCCCTGCTTGTGGCCTGGGAGAACAGTCAAAGATGGCCCAAAGCCTTGAGACCCTGCACCTGGGTGGAAGACCTGGAGGAAGCTCCTGGCTCGTGGCTTTGGATCGGCTCAGCTCCGACCATTGAGGACACTTGGGGAGTGAAGCAGCAGATAGAGGATCTTTCTCCTCCTCTCTGTATATCTGACTTTTCAATAAAAGCAAATGCATCTTTAAAAAAAAGAGAAATGAAATAAGAGAAGAGATGACAGAAAAAAGCAGGGAAAGTATTAATATCAGGCTTTCTTCATTTGAGCTCTGCTCGGATAGCTTTGTTGATAAGATGTGGGGCCCCTGGTTCTGGGGGTGGGGGAATCTCAAGAAAACAGCTGACAGCAGAAAGAGGTTAGTTTAACCATGACCGTACATATCTGGTCAGCACACACCAGTCTGCTTCCTCTGATGGCTGGAAATCTAAGGGAGATGCTACAAAGGGTCCCTGAAGGGGCCCTCTGTTAGGCATTGCAAGAGATCTCTAGAAATATAAAAGGCTCCAAACTCCCTCTGCTCCTCCTACATCTGCCTGGCATTATTTCAGCATGAGTAATGAAATAAAATGAGAACAGCAAGAGAATCTGTGGAAACATACAGGTTTAACAACTTGCTTCCTCCAGACCAGGACTTGCAATGTATTCTCCTTACTATAGGTTTGTTTTTAATAGTAGTTCACTACTACTATTTTAACCTTATCTTTAATAGAACATTTTAAGTAAAATCATTAATTTGAGAGAGAGAGAAAGAGTGAGGAATATTTCATTTGTAGGTTCACTCCCAAAATATAACCAACAGCTGGGTTTGGGCCAGACTTGTTACAGAGTGCAGCCAGTGATTGCTCCTTCACCTCTCCCTGTATACTCTTCCCCCGAAGTCCTAATTCGGCCCGGATGTTGGGTGCAGATGAATCCAATTAGTCTCTAGCTACAAGCCCAGTTTCTGTTTCTGCCCATCCCAATGAGCACCAATTAACTCCTTAACTCACAACACTTAGGTATTCGCTCCTGCCCACCTGTGACTCACTTAGCAACTGAGAAGGGATGGTATTGCATTGTTGTGTAACCACTCCCCTCACAAGCCCCTTTAAAAGGCCCATGAAGCAGGGGCTCACTCTCTTTCTGGTCAGGTGTTTCTGTTACTCTGGCACCTCTACTCTTGGCTGACTCAGGACAGGTAAGCCCCTTAGCGTGGTCCCTGTGTACTGCTTAGATGGGACAATGGATATAATAATGTTGTTTCTGGTCTGGAACTATCAGGAGTTCCAGCAGAGGTGAGGCCTAGCAGTAGTGGAATGTGGGCAGAGAAGCCAGGGAAAGTTGAATGTCTGCAGCTTTGTAAGTGTGTCCAGGTTATTTGTTGCATGTCTCTTAGGATAACATATTGCTGGGGAAGGTGGGACATAGATCTTTAGCTTAATCGATGGACTTAAGGATAATGACGATTTGTTCCCCTTTGGATTTTGATTGGTTGGATTGCCGTATGGACTTGTGATCTGCTCTTTCTAGTATGTTCTATTACCAAGTGTGGTTAATAAAGACTCCTTAATTAAAACCTTAGACATGTCTGGTGTGATTTCGCTTGCACCCCGTAACAGACTCAAGCCAGAAGCTGGGAATTCAGTTCTAGTTTCTCACCTGAGTTCAAGGATGCATGTTCTTAAGGCATTACCTGCAGCCCCCAGTGCTCTACATTAGCAGGAAGCAGAGCTGGGGCTCAAACTCAGATACTTCAATATGAATGTAGACATCCCAAGCAATGTCTTAACTCATGTGCTGTTTGCTTCAATAATTACTATTTTTATAGAAAAAGCCATACAAAGAGGCAAGTAATTTCCAAAGTGTGAATGATGTGTAATTACAAACTACGTTCCTTCTACTTCAGGCTGTTTTTGAGTATTCTCCCAGACAGAATTCTATCTGTGTAATATTTTTCTGTACACATAATACACATACAGAGCATTCTTTTACAAAAGGAAATAGGAATGTAGTCTGCCTTGTTTCATGCCTTGCTTTTTTTCCATTCAGCACTACAATTTGTAGTTTCTAAAATTTGGATATAGTCTTTTGTCTTTGCTTTTTTTCCTTTTTACAGATTTATTTTATTGGAAAGGCAGATTTAGAGAGAGAAGAAAAGAAAATGAGACAGGTCTTGCATCTGCTGGTTCATTCCCCAAGTGACTGCAATGGCCAGAGTTGAGCCTATTTGAAGCTAGGAACTAGGAACCTCTTCCAGGTCTCCCACGTGGGTGCAGGGTCCCAAGGCTTTGGGCCATCCTCGACTGCTTTCCCAGGCCACAAGCAGGGAGTTGGATGGGAAGTGGAGTAGCTGGGACTGAACCAGTGCCCATATGGAATCCCAATATGTGCAAGGTGAGGATTTAAGCTACCACATTGGTCCCCTGATATGATTTTTTTTCTTTAAAAAAACACAAAGCTTTATTTGTTTGAAATAGCCACACAGAGAAAAGACAGAGGGAGAGATATTTCTTCCATCTACCGGTTTACTTCAAATGGCTGCAATGACCAGGGTTGGAAGCCAAAAGGTCTCCCATGTGGGTGGTAGGGATCCAAGTACCTGGCACATTTCCCAGATGAATTAGCAGGGATCTGAATTGTAGTGGAGCAGCTGGGACTTGAATGGGCACTCATATGGGATGCAGATATTGCAGGTGGTGGTGCAACATGTGGATTTACAATGGCCTCAGTATATCTGTCTTCCTTTGGTGCAACATTACTGGTTGCTCTGGCTCCAAATCTTGGAGTAATACCTAGCCTTCTTCCTCTTAAATAGTAAATTCTTCCAAATTCTCCTTTGTCCTTTTTTTTTTAAATCATTCTCATCACCAATTCCTGGTTTAGGCCTTTTCATCTCTTACAGTGTTTTTCTATTAGAAAAGTTCTCCATTGATGCATTTCTTGCACACATGCTATTGATCAAATTTCTGTTCTGATTATGTCAGAAGCCTTCAGCAGTTTCCCATTCACTGCATTACACAAAAACTCAAGCACCAATGAATAAGTCTGATTTTAAAATTGTAATCTAAGGAATTCATGAAAGGCAGATACTTGGATAAGAATCCCTAGGTTTAGGACCTCTAAGCCGATACTTGCTTATGGGAGGGAAAGTGGGAGAGGGAAGGAGGATGAGAGGGAAAGAGGTCTCCTGTGTACGTGGCAGGAATACCTTCATTCGGGCCTTCGCTGCTGCCTCTCAGGGCCTGCTTTAGAGGGAAGCTGGATTCAGGAGCTGGAGCTGCGCCTCAAACCCAGGTACCCTGATATGGGATGCAAGTGGAGTCTTACGTGCAATGCCAAACATCTGTCATATTAGTCTGTATTTAAAGAAGTTTCAGCTGATGCAGTTGGTTGTAGGATCTGTGGGAATATTAGTATAAACTATAACTTTCTTAGTCTAATCCTTGAGGCTCCTCAGGATCTCTTTCCATCCCTGTCTCTTAATACTGCGTCTTTATAAGTCTGTGCAAATGGCACTCTTGTTGCCACACCTTCCAGTTAGTTACACCTGGCCTCAGTTTTCCAAACCATCTTGCGTCCACGTTCTGCTCTTGTGTTAAAGGTTTGGATTCTCCAGCTCTTGATCCCGAGATCATGGGAGGAGTGACCAGCAGGCATATTGTTTGTCTTTTCCTGCTATTCATGCTTGCTGCGCCTCTGTCACAAAGATGTTCTATAAGAATTTGTGGGGTTAGCGACCTCCTCTGACTTCATTGTCATTGTATGTGCAATGTCATTGACTGTTGCTGGCGTGTGTTGGGCTTTCAACACATATTTGTAGATTTCACTGGGTAAATGAACAAAACCCAGCCTAGTATTGTCCTGAGAACTACAAGTCCCAGTGGACACCGCGCGGAACGTCGGCGGCGCGGTGAGGTAAGGGGGCGTGGTCAGTCCGAGGGAGGGGTCGTCCTGCGGGTAGCTGGAGGCTGGGGCGGCCGGGAGCCTGGGGTGAGGGAGTGAGGGAGCGAAAGGTGAGCTAAGCCGAAGGAGGGGACGCGCTGCGGGGCGCCCCCAGTCTATGGAGCGGGGTAAGATGGCGGAGGCGGAGAGCCTGGAGACAGCGGCAGAGCACGAGCGGATCCTGCGGGAGATCGAGAGCACCGACACGGCCTGCATCGGGCCCACGCTCAGGTACCCCCGGTACCGGCGCCACCGACGGGCGGGCGCGGGCGGGACGGGGTGGCAGGTTCCTTTGGGTCCGGTGCCGGCCGCCCGCAGGGCCGGCGCTGCCCCTCCCCTTGGAGGGACCCGCTAGTGACCTGTATGCTGGTGAGGCGTGTTGTATGCTGGAAGGATCCCTTCCCCATCGATCGTCCACGACTCGGGAGGCGCCTCCCGTCTGCCTCACGGCCGGGCAGCCTTCACGCTCCCCCCGAGGCTAGCCCAGAGCCCCCGGCAGATGGTGGCTCCTAGCAGCTCTTCCCCCTGGGAACATCACCCGGCTCCCTCAGACCTCGTCCCGCCCCTGACACAAGTCAGCTCTACAGATCAGTTTTTACTGCACAGCGTGTTGCTCGGAATTAAACTGCTGTCCCGCAATCACAGCCGCGTCTCAGAAACGCTATCTGAAAAAATCCTAGGCCACCTAAGGAAGTTTCCCTGGACCCCCACACCCCTTTCCCGAGGGCTGATGCTCCTTTAACCCCTGTGGAAGGCCGGCCCCTCTTTCAGATGCATCCTCGCAGAGGGAATACCTTACCACATCCTGGTCCCCCAGTTACGGCATGTACATCCCCTCGCTTCTAGTTTTAGCTGGAGATGTCAAAATGAACCCCGGACCACCTCACTTACTTACATTTAGGTAGCATTTGTTATGCACCGTGTGATACATGGTATGACGTGATTTACACATAACTTATTTAAGCCACAAAACCATCTTATTGGGCAGGTACTGTTATTACTTTCATTATATAAAGGAGGCAAGGAGAGGTTATGGGACTTGTACAAGGTCATAAAGTGTGGGGTGTGGGGGCTCGGGATTCCTGCGCAGGCAGTCTGAGTCCAGGCTCAGCCCCCACCGCTGCGCTTCCTGGTGGTGATCACTTATCAAGTTTTGAACCACTTTCCCTTGCTCCTTAGTTTACCAGTGCCCTAGAGTTAACTCATCCTCCTCTGTTCCTGTGGCGCATTCTGACCTCCGTGCAGCCAATGGACAGGAGAATTCTTGCCTTCCTGGTAGAGTCTTGAGTCACTGCCCCTCCCCTGGAGAGTTATTACTCACTGCCTGCTGTTTCATGGGAAAAGCCACCTCCTGGGAGACCGAGGTAGGGCCGGCTGGAGACTTGACTCTTCATCCCCGCCTGCACATCCTCTTCATTGTGCACTGTTCGCGCTGTTCTCCAGGGCCATCCCTGGACATAACTGTCCTCAGCACGTTGCTCTGTATCCTTCTGGAGTGACTTTTAGCCCCCATTTTGGACCAGTTCTTCCACACAGTTGCCACACAGATTCTCTCCACCCCTACTCTCATTGTGTCAGCATTTGGACCACCATGCTTCTCTCCTGTCCTATTAGCTCTGAAGGATCAGTGATTCTCATTACAAGTAATACTTCTATGAATATTCAGAGATACTTATTCATAAGTATATTATTAATAGTTATCCATTTTTCCCCCTGTAAGATGTTAGTGGAGTTGTTGAAACTGCATCCTTGCCATTTATTTGGTGGGCAGAATGGTACGGACTGTGGTATGTTGGGAGATCTGCAGAAGGAGGGAAAGAGGTGGGGGTTCACTCCTCAAATGTCTGTGACAGGAGCCAGAAACTTCTTCCAGGTCTCCCACGGTTGTGGCAGGGGCCCAAGCACTGGGGCCATATCCCACTGCTTTTCCAGGTGTTTTAGCAGGGAGCTGGGCTGAAGTGGAGCAGCCAGGGCAGTGACTTAATGTGCTACACTACCATGGTGGCTCCTTAATATTATATTAAGCAAAATATTGGGGTGGGCATTTGGTGTGGTGGTTACAACATGCTTGTGGTGCATGGCTCCTAAATTGCAGCACCTGAGTTAGGGTCCTGACTCTGCTCGATTATAGCTTCATACTGATATGCACCCTGGGAGGTAGCAGCTGATGTACACAAGTAGTTGGGTTTCCAGCACCCATAGAGGAGACCTGATTGAGTTTCAGCCTCCTGGCTTCAGACTGTTGTGGCCATTTGGGAAGTGAATGAACCAGTGGGTGAAGATCTCTGCCTGTCTGTCTTGCTTTGTGTTTCAAATAAAGTAAATCTTAAAAGAATAAAAGACTTGGCTGCTAGCTGTAGACATAGTTGATGTCTTGTTGAAGTTCTCACTGGAGCAGTTTAGATTACTAGAGTTTTTAGGAAGAGTTATTTATCCTAGCACCATCAATGTTGGTTTGGGTCGCTTATGGTTTTCACTTGCTGCTCTTGATTTATACAATAAATTATTTAGTGTTACTAATTTAATTTATTACTATTATGTTAACTCTCAACTGAGAAGCAAATACTAATAAGCTGAATTTTGGATTGTAATCTCCAGTTTCTTGACTTTTGGAGTATATGCATTATGGATCAAATGTAAGTTACCCATTTTCCCTAGTACTTGGTTTGTTATCCCTGAGATCTTTTTCACTGGAAAATGTGGAGTTAGATGGATTAAGGTTAATTTGCTCTAAGGGAATTTTGAATAAAAAAGCTTTAGAGCCATTGCAATATCCTAACAGTTGCTTTTCTTTATTCTCTATATTATTGTTAGGACCTTTTTGTTTTTGCTGTGTCTTGTCTTTGGCAGGTAGCTCTAAATCTTGCAGTCATACCCGAGGCTCAAGCATTTGAATGATTTTGAATCTAGTATGAGTAGCACCTGCTGCCTTTGTCTTCAAGTCAGCTTGTCCCTTCGCAAGTTCATGGGCGATGATCTCGCCTAGTTTCCTTACCTTGTTCAGAGGCCACGGCTTGCACAGACTTGATGTTTCTGATCCCAGCGTTAGCCTGAGTGCACCTCCATCATCATCATCTGTTGTTCCATGATAATCACTAAACAGGTTTGATTTAGTCCATAGACTGTCTCAATCTTAAATCTCAAACTCTTTTACCCTTCTTCATGCTGTATCTTTCCTATTATTAACATCTTTTTGAGGTAGCATTTTTATAGCATCAGATTCTTAGCTGTTCCTGAGATAGGTTTTCTAATTGAAGAATAAAAGATCTTGGATTAACAGTAAATTGATAGCAGATATAACATTAATATACCTGTACCTGAAGTTCCTGTTTTTGAAAAAAAGACTGAACTATGTGTCTTCTCATTGCTGTGATTTACACATTGTTGCTTGTATTCTCTCTTCCTGTGGTACCTGATTACTCTTTCAGTCTTGTCTCTTTTTGTTTGAGGAGGCACAATGGTTGACATTTTAATTATCATGTTCCTTATTTTAGTCTTGAACTGTACTTACACTATTGGTAGATTCACATGTGTAATAAGGGTGTGATGTTTTTATTGTATTTGTGAAAGGCTAGGCCATCTTTGCATATAGAATTTGTTGCTTTGCATGTTCTTTTGGGGAAAAAGCCATCTTCATCTTTTTTTTTTTTTTTAAAAAAAGATTTATTTTCATTTGAAAGGCAGACCTATAGAGAAAGAGACAGAGAGATCTTCATCCATCAATTGGTTCATTCCCCAAATGGCTACGATGGCTGAAGCTGAGCTGATCTGTAGCTGACCTAAGTCTGGACCCAGGAACTTCTTCCAGGTCTCCCTTGTGGGTGCGGGGTCCAAAGACTTTGAGCCATTCTCTACTGCTTTCCCAGACCATAGCAGGCAGCTGGATTACAAATGGAGCAACTGGGATGCAAACTGCAACCTATATGGGTTGCTGGTGCTACAGGTGGAGGATTAGCCTACTGCACTGTGGAATGGGCCCTTTATCTTTTATTTAAAAATATTTAAAAATTTTTCTTTTTAATATTGTTTACATAGCTGAGAGGGATGCATGTCCATTTGGACGTTAGTTATGGAGTGGTGGGAAATATGTTTCAGTCTTTTTTTTTTTTCCCTCCTGTGTCTGCAGAGGAGAGGGAGGGGACCACTCCTTGCTGTCAAATTACATCAACACTTGGGCATGGGGAATGGTCACTTGATGACACCATAGAGACCCCGTTGTAGGGAAGATGATTCCAAGGGTGTTACTTGAGTTGTTTTGATAGTTCTGAGAAGTAGTTGGTTTTGTTGCTTCAGGGTTGAGAAAATCTTTCCAAGGTCTATTGGTTGGGAAAGTCTTCCTTAGTGTATCCACAGACCCAGCAACATGCTACGAAGCTTGGCCAGGAGAATTGTTCAACCTGTCCTGTTTTCCATCTTCTGAGGCAGTTGACATCTCTTGTCCTAAATGAGCTGTCTGTCATGTCCCACATGTGCATCTGGAGATGCTATCTACTGTACAGGCATCAGCAACTGAGGAGGTCCAGTTCCAATACAGGCACTCCAAGATCGGACCACACATCCTGAGTTTTGCCCTGTGGCCGGAGTCTGAGTCCAGCAGTCTAGTTCGAGGCACCTGCAAGAAACCTCATCTGGGGTGATCTCAGACTTGGCTCTTGCGTATGTCAGCCAGTGCAAAGCAGCCAGTGGAGGTCAGTTCTGTCCCAGTCAGATGGGGAACCAGCCAGACGTGAACCGATGGGTGCTGTGGTCTAGTCTTGCCAGCCTGCCACAAACCCAGTCCCACCACAGGCCCAGTCCCTACACATACCAGTGGGTGCCTTGGCCTAGTTAGGGTGATACTCATCAACCCCCACTATGCCTAACCTCAGCCCTGTTTTTTTGCTAGGTCATAGCACCCACAGATATGCATGACAGCCAGATGGGATATGGGCTGGACCTTAGCAGACCCCATACCTGGCCTCACATACACTGACAGGTGCTGCCATCTTGTCCAGACTGGCCAGCTACAGTCCTAGTTTTTGTGCTCATCAGCAAGATACAGACTAGCAGGGGAGTGCCCAGTTTCCCTTCCAGGCATATTCCCAGCACTGCATCATGCACCTGCCAGTACATACTTCAGTCATGCCTGATATGACTCATACCTAGAATTGGCACTTGCCAGTTAGTGCTGTGACTTAGCCTAGTTGGCCTGTACCCATTCTTGCTCTTGTGTGTGCCAGTAGGTATGGCAG